TAAACTGTCCCAATTGCAAATAATTGTCAGATTTGGAATACTGTGTTCAGTTTTGGTCACCAAGACTCTAGAAAAGATGTTGAGACTCTAGAAAGAGTGCAGAGAAGAGCAACAAAGGTGATTAGGGGACTGGAGGCTAAAACATATGAAGAACGGTTGCAGGAACTGAGTATGTCTAGTTTAATGAAAAGAAGGACTAGGGGAGACATGATAGCAGTTTTCCAATATTTCAAACCCGCATAAGGAATTATATTGTGAGTAGAGGATTCAGTAGAGGAGTAGAGGGACGTGGTGGCTCTGTGGCTAAGATGCTGAACTTGACAATCCAAAATGTCGGCGGTTCGAATCCCTAGCGCTGCATAACGGAGTGAGCTCCCGTTACTTCTCCCAGCTTCTGCCAAGTTTGAAAGCAAGTAAAAATGCAAGTAGAAAAATAGGAACCACCTTTGGTGGGAAGGTAACACAGCGTTCCGTGCGCCTTCGGCATTTAGTCATGTCGGCCACATGACCACGGAGACGTCTTCGGACAGCGCTGGCTCTTCAGCTTTGAAACGGAGATGAGCACTGCCCCCTAGAGTCGGGAACAGCACATATGTGCGAGGGGAACCTTTACTTTTAGAGGAGTGGAGTACTCTTCTCGTGAAATACCTCTGAACCCGTCTCAGTGACATTCCAGGTCTGGAGACATGAAGTCAACGGGCAGAAATGTTCTCCAGACGATATGGAAATCCCAGCGTATTTTTTAGGCTTTCCAATATTAATCTCTCTCTCTTTTAAAAGCCTACAGAGCTAAGCTAGGAATGCTGAACACTGTCTCCAAGATCCGAGGGCAAGTGAAGGCCACAGGATACCCACAGACCGAAGGATTACTTGGGGACTGTATGCTCCGCTATGGGAGAGAATTGAGAGAAGACTCCACCTTTGGTGAGCTCCTGCAGCCACGCAACATTGTTTATGTAGTTCTTTGCAAGCGGCACTTAGTACATCCGGATGTTTAAGGAAAGGGCAGCGGACATGATAGAGATACAAGATGCCAAAGAGGGTGGAGGCAGGATTGTGACAAAATACGGCCTCTGTCTTTTTCCATGGTGGTCCTTAAAAAGGATGTGCCACGTTCAAGGACTGTAAATGATGCTCAGGTGTATTCCCTGAGATGTGCTGCAGCTGTGCTGAAATGGGGATGCCTGTGCTGAATGGGGATGATGGGAGATGTAATCCTGTACACCTATAAGAGCGCCAAATTGCTTTGCTTAAGAACGCTAAAGCTTCTCTGTCTGTCTGTCTGTCTGTCTGTCTCTATCTGTTTATCTCTGTCTGTCTCTCTCTCTCTGTGTCTGTATCTGTGTATCTCTCTCTCTCTCTCTATCTGTCTTTCTCTGTCTGTATCTCTGTCTCTCTCTGTCTGTCTGTCTCCCTCCCTCCCTCTCTCTCTGTCTTTCTCTGTCTGTCTCTTTCTGTCTGTCTCTCTCTCTCTCTCTGTCTATATCTGTGTCTCTGTCTCTCTCTCTATCTGTCTTTCTCTGTCTGTATCTCTCTCTCTCTGTTTGTCTCTTTGTGTGTCTCTCTGTCTGTCTCTGTCTCGCTCCCTCCCTCTCTCTGTCTTTCTCTGTCTGTCTCTTTCTGTCTGTCTGTCTGTCTCTCTCTCTCTCTCCGCCTCTTGTCTGTTTTCTCTCTCTCTCTGTCTGTCTCTGTCTATCTGTTTGTCTCTCTCTGTGTGTGTGTGTGTGTCTGTATCTCTGTCTCTGTCTCTCTCTCTCTCTGTCTCTGCCTCTATCTGCTCTCTCTCTGTCTGTTTGTCTCTATGTGTGTGTGTGTGTCTGTATCTCTCTCTCTCTCTCTGTCTTTGTGTGTGTGTCTCTCTATCTCTGTTTGTCTCTCTCTGTCTCTGTCTGTCTCTCTCTGTGTCTGTCTGTATCTCTGTCTCTCTGTCTTTTTCTGTCTGTCTGTCAGCCTCTCTCTCTGTCTGTCTCTTTCTGTCTGTCTCTCTGTCTCTCTCTCTCTCTCTGTGCCTCTTTCTCTCTCTCTGTCTCTCCTTCCCTCTCTCGAGCAGGAAGTTCTTTTTAGTTACGAATTGCCTCTTCTAAAGTATGTGCCCAGAGAAATGGTCTGGAAAATAAGAATGTTGGAAGCTTTTGCACGTTTCAAAGAAAAGAGGCTGGAAACAAGCCTTTTAAATTTCAGTTAGGAAGTTGATGAATCTTTTTCTTTTTTTAAAAAAACAACAATTCCTCCCCATGAGATGCATCAGTGTTGTTTCTTCTCCACAAGGCGCTGCGCTGATCGATGTGGGAGAAAGTATGAAGCAGATGGCAGAAGTGAAAGACTCCCTGGATATCACCATCAAGCAGAATTTTATTGACCCTCTGCAGCTACTGCAGGAAAAGGACTTAAAGGAGATTGGAGTGAGTTTATCTCAGCCTCGAATATTTGCCTAGGGATGTGAGGTGCATCCTTGGAATAATATTAGTGTTTCTCAGATATTTCTCTCTCTCTCACTCGCTCTCTTTTTCATTTCCTAATGCCTGGATTTGCATAATATATTAAACTTAGGTTAATAAAATACAATGCACCAAAGACAAATTCCTTGTGTGTCCAATCACACTTGGTCAATGAAGAATTCTATTCTATTCTATTCTATTCTATTCTATTCTATTCTATTCTATTCTATTCTATTCTATTCTATTCATCCCATCCCATCCCATCCCATCCCTATCCCTATCCCTATCCATATCCATATCCCTACCCCTATTCTACTCTACCCTACATTCTATTCTATTCTATCCCTATCCCTATCCTACTCTACCCTACATTCTATTCTATTCTATTCCATGCCATTCCTGGCGGACTTGCAAGGCAATGGGATGCACATGCGCGAAGAACATGGTGGCAACAGCAGCAGCTTCTTTGCTGACCCGAGGACTTTTTGGCCAGCTGCTGCCTCTTTGAGAGGCACTTTGCAAAGCGGCTCTCAAAGGGACCTCAATTGGGAGGCTTCTTCGCCAGCCAGCCGCTTCACAGCAGCAGCGGTTGGTTGGGGGGGGGGGACAACGAAAACTCCGGTCAGTTTGCCTTCCGGAGTCTGGACCAGCCGCCGCGGAAAGTAAGCAGCCCGAACAAAGAGGCAGTGGTGTGGGAAGAAGCGGTTTTAGGGCTAGGGCTGCTAAAGAAGGGGAAACATGAATGACTGGTGAAGGGAGGGCAAGGGTAGATAGGTAGAAATTGCAAAAAAATTTCCTACCTTTTCCTGTGGGCGTGGCCTGGGGGGGTCATGTGACTGAGTGGGCATGAGTGATGTCAAGTTGGCCACACCTACTCAGTCACATCCCCCCTGCCTAGCCACGCCCACCGAACCGGTAGCGGACATTTTTGAAATCCATCACTGCCCTATACACAAGGACTTCTTGTTCGCTCTAACCACTTGGCTTTCTTCTTTCCTTTCCTTTCCTTTTTTTTGTAAAATAGCACCATCTAAAAAAATTAGAAGGCCGGCGTCTAGATTACGATTACAAAAGGAAGCGCCTCGGGAGGATTCCAGATGAGGAAGTGAAGCAGGCCATCGAGAAGTTTGAAGAATCCAAAGAGTTGGCAGAACGGAGCATGTTCAACTTGTTGGAAAATGATGTAAGCCCTTCCTCCCTTTGGCCGCTTGGGAGAGAGAGACATGCGGTCTCTACGTGGGTGTTCGTGACCCAAACGGTGTGGCGTAACTAGCAATTGGGAAGATGGACAGGTTGCCCAAACCTCTTGAGCACCGCCTACTCCTTTCCCAAACCAGACAGGGAAGGAAACCTAGGAACGGCTGTATAATTTCCCTCTTCCTGCCATTAGGAGTAGCTGGCAGTCCGTACCTCTCCAGACCTGTTATCTGTCATCTCTGTAGTTGGGTGATGCTTTTTTTTTTTTTTTTTGCTATTTTAAAAGGTAGGAAATGGAAAACAACATCTAGTATCGTCCCTGAAATAGTTTTACATTTTGCCTCCTTCCAGAGCCCAAGAAATTCTTCCCTTGGTCCCTTTATCGTGTCTTGCATTAGCAATGTGTGGGGAAAATGTATTTTCTCCTCTATTGGAGGTAGCCCTTTTTCCTTCAAACACGTGTCAATTTCTTCCTTCTTTATTTTACCTTCTCCGTATAACTCCTTAAAGTAATTTCTTATAATGTTTTCGCTTACATGGTTTATGAGAAATAGGAAAGAAAGAAAAAACTATCAACAGTTAGATGAAATTGCCAAGAAGGCTGAAATAGCTCCTTTCTATAATAATTAGG